TTGCAGCTGGGCAAGGCATTGCGATTACATTCTTACCTATGGAATGTGAGTGGAAGTCATGTGGCCCTCTTCCAGGTATAGGCCTTAAAATATTGGACACATGCTCTTCCATCCTCTCTTTCCCTTCTGATCAGATAAAACCTGGGCCTGACATGCCCTTCAGGTGAGTACAAGCATAGGAGGAAGGTGGGGAAACAGCATGGAAGGAGTCTGGGTCCCTGAACAAAGACAGAAAACAAGACTCCAGGCCGGTCTATACCACTCACCTCCTTAATGGGGCAAAACTGAATTTCCACTCTTCTAAGTCTTGATTTTTTTTTCCCTCTTGTTAAAAACCACTTTGGGGGGCACCTGGGTGGCTTAGTCGGTTAAGCATCCAACTTCAGCTCAGGTCATGATCTCACAGTTCGTGAGTTTGAATCCCACGTCGGACTCTGTGCTGACAGCTTGGAGCCTGGAGCCTGCTTCAGATTCTGTGTCTCCCTCTCTCTCTGCCCCTCCCCTGCTCACATGCTGTCTGTCTCTCTCTCTCAAAACAAAATAAGTAATAAACATCTAAAAAACTTTTAATAAAAAACAAAACAACAACAACACTCACTTAGTCATTGTAACAATTCTCTATTCCCTGCCTGCTGTACTCCATATTCTTTTTAAAAAAATTTTTTAAATGTTTTATTTATTTCTAGGAGAGAGAGAGACAGCGTGAGCAGGGGAGGGTCAGAGAGAGAGGGAGTCACAGACTGAAACAGGCTCCAGGCTCTGAGCTGGCAGTCAGCACAGAGCCCGACGCGGGGCTCGAACCCACGAACCGCGAGATCATGACCTAAGCGAAAGTTGGACGCTTAACCGACTAAGCCACCGAGGCGCCCCCTCCATCTCCTTCTTTATTCCCACTTCTCCAGGCCTGGCTTCCTTGCTCTCCAGGCAGATGCCCTGGGAAAAGCTGTAATGTGTTAGGCATTTGGTGGAGACAGCTCAGTTGGGCATCAGCCTCTCTGCCAGCTCTTCTTTTTTTTTTTTTTTTTAATATTTTTTATGTTTATTTATTTTTGAGAGTGAGAGAGAGCAAGCATGAGCAGGGGAGGGGCAGACAGAGAGGGAGACACACAGTCCCAAGCAGGCTCCAGGCTCTGAGCTGTCAGCACAGAGCCCGACATGGGGCTCGAACCCACGAACTGAGAGATCATGACCTGAGCTGAAGTCGGGTGGTTAACCGACTGAGCCACCCAGGCGCCCCTCTGCCAGCTCTTCTAACAGCTGAAGACCCTCCCTGTCTCCAAACTGAGACTGGGGCTTCTCAGTCTTTGCTATGGGAAGTCACCTTAGAGTCTCAGCAGGGCCAGACAGACCTCCACCTCTTCCTGCTGGTCAGTCAGCCCCTTCTCCCCTCCGCCACAACCCAGGCTAAGCCTCCACTTACCACTCAGGGCAAAGTCATGTGTTAAGCCCATCCCAACATTTCTATCTCTATCTGGGTAGAAGGACTATTTGTGTAGATCTGGGAAAGCTCCTGGAGCTCCCCATGCCCCCACACACTAGACTAGTTACAACACTGGAAAATGGGTGGGTCATGAGAAGGGTCATGTTTTATTGTGAACTCCTTCAAGTGGTGACTCAAAGTGCCATTTTTCCAGATGTGGCTTCTTTACTAAAGAAAATCAACACAGTGTCTGGCACTTTGACTTCAACCTCTGGTCTGGAAAATGTTGTTCTCTATATAATTTAGTAAGGACCACCCAAAGTCATTTGCTTTTATTGGACAGGGTAGTAGTTTCTTAATGTGGGGCTTTGTCAGCTTTTTTGTGCTCTGTCATAATCTAATGTATAGAGACTTTCATTACCCTGATGTCCCCAGGACAAAACACTGATCCACTACACTGATGACATCGTGTTATACCCAGTGAAAAGGAAATAGCAAGTGCGCCAGATGCTTTAGTAAGACCCATGCATGCCAGAGGGTGGTATACAAACCCCAGGAACATTCAGGGACCTGTAGACTTGTTGAAATTTCTAGGGACCCAGGGGTTAGGAAATGTCAGGCTATGCCTTCCAAGTGAAAGAAGTTGCTACGCCTACCACTAAGGTAAAAGCGCTACAATTGGTGGCCCTGTTTGGATTTGAGAGGCAATGTACACCCATTTGTGTGTGCTGCTCCAAGGTAACCCATAAGAGTGCTGGTTTTGGATGGATCCTAAAGCAGATGCAGGCTGCTGTTCAGATGCTCTGAATGACCCAGCAGATCCATATGGTGTTAAAATTGTCTGTGATTTGGACATGGTGTGTGGAGCCTCCAGCCATCCCTAGTAGGAAAATCTCAGTACACACCCCACACTCTTGGAACAAAGTCATATCCTCTTCTGCATATAAAAACCATCCTTTTGCAAATTCATTTCTGGCCTGCTACTGGGCCCTGATAAAGACTGAACACCTGATCATGAGACAACAAATGACTAGGCAACCTGAGCTGCACCCCCGTGAACTGGATGTCATCTGATTGATCGAGCCATAGGCTAGGTACATAGAGAAGCATTGTACCAACTGGAAGTGAAGGAGCTCAGATGATGTCAACTATTCCTGCCACATCGCCACCTCTTTCTCTTCTAACACCTAAGGCCTTGTGAAGAACTCCCTCTAATCAAATGATGGAGGAAGAAAAAACTAATCCTGGTACCAACTGGAAGTGGATGTTCACAGCACCATGGGGAATGCCCCCCCAAAGACATTGGAGGAGGAGAATCCTCACTATGAACAGGACTTCAAGCAGTAACTGTGGTTGTCCACTGTATCTAGATGGAGACAGAGTCCAGAAAGATGGATCTACACATATTCATGGAATGGATGGTTTGGCTGGATGATCAAGAGCATGGAAAGATCAAGAACAGAGGATTGGTAACAAGGATATCTGTGAAAGGAAGAATGTGGGTGGATCTGTACCCACAGAAAGAGGCACAGAAAGAGGGGATATTTGTATCTCCCCCAAAAGTACTCATTGTAGAGGAGAGTCTCAACAAATAGTTGAACAAAATGACTTGATATGTGGATGGAAGTCATTCCCTCCCTCCAGCCACCCTAGTGCTTGTTCAGTGTGCTCATATACAAAATGGCCATGGTGATCAAGCTAGAGGTTCTAGGTGGACACAACTCCCTCTCAGCAAGACTGATTAGCTAATACCAGCATCAAATGACCAACATGCACAGAATTCCTGATATGGCACCATTCCCCGTAGGAACTAGCCACCTAGTGGCAGATTGGTCACATTGACCCCTTCCATCATGGAGGGAGCAGCAAGCAGCAATTTGTATATCCTATATATGGATTTGCCTTCTTTGACCATGACATCTATGGACACCTTGGCTCCAGTTCTGGTATTCCATACAACCTTGCTTCTGACCAAGAAGTTGATATCACAGCAAAAGAAATGCAGTGGTGTAATTAAACCTATGGAACTTTCTGGTCTTACCATGTGCTCTATTACCTAGAAGCAGCTAGGCTTATAGAATATTGAAATGGCCTGTTGAAGACTCTGTTACAGCACCACCCAAGAGACACTGCAATGTTGAAGTGATGCCCTACAGGATGCAGTATAAACTTTGTAAGGCCCACAGTGCTGTTTCTCCCACACGCAGAAAACAGATTCAGCAGTGCTGAGGTGGGAATGGGAGACTAGCTCTCACTATTGCACATAATAGCCCATTCACAACAGTGTTGCTTCCCATTCCTGAATCTTTGGACTTTGATGGTTTAGAGATTATAGTTTCCAAGGAAGGAATGCTTTTGTTGGGGAATACATCAGTGATTCAACTAAATTAGCAGAAGCTGAGATTGCAACTTGGCCATTTTTATCTCCTACCATTGAAACTACAGGCAAAAAGTTTACAGACTAGGGTGATTGGTCCTGGTCATTGAGGGTAAATGGCGTTGCTGCTGCAATGGTGGCATGGGAAACTATGTATAGGAAGTAGAGGATTCTTAGGGTGCCTCCTAATATTTCCATGGCCAATAGTAAAAGATTAATGGAAGACCACAGCAACCCAAGGACCACTAAAGCCTAAGTCAGATAAAATACCCCAACCATGAGGTTCTGGCTGAGGAAAAAGAGAATATAGGATAGCTAGTGGAAAAAAAGAGAAATTATAAATAAATATAAACAATGGCCTTAGGATCAATTACAGACATGAGGACTCTGGCAGCTATATGGATTTTCTTCCTCGCTTGTTATGTGTGTGTTTACACTGTATATAAGGAATGCTAGTGATGGATAAATCGACATTTTCATCTGTAGATTACACTATATGGAGGAGTGCCTGTGCCCTCCAGAAGTAGAATCCAACATCATCAAGAGTGATGTTATGGATGAGGCTTTGTGAGTTCCATTTTGGAGAGAGGGTGCAAGCAGGAGACTAGTCAACCTTATCAGGATTAAGCATGATGTCATTGTTCTTGAGTGGAGTTTAATTATGAGTGGAGAGTCTGTGTGAATGTTTGAGTAGCCTAAGGGGTGAATGGTGCCAGATGGTGAGTCTGTTCTCTTATGTTCTACGCTTGCCCTGTCTGGGCCCTGGCTATTTTTTTCCTTTCATCCTTATGACAAAAAAAGGCTGGGGAAAATTCTTATATGTTTTTGCAAAATCAATAAACTATGCTTTATGCTCTATTATTATATTCCTGGTTTAATGTTCTTCAGACATTTTAACACATTTTCCCCTCTGGGAAACTGTGGAGTATATGCCCTGGGTATACCCCGAAGGTCCATGTCCAGGTGAACATGAGCAGATGGTTGTGAACATGCTCGGTGACCTGAGAAGCTCTGTGTCCAAGTCAGGTGGGTTTATGCCAAGGTGAGAACATGGCAAAGTCCACCCACGAGCTGTCCCTACAACCAGCAACCTGAGACCTGGGCTTCATTCTTGCTTGCTCTTGCAAAGCACTGAATCTGAACCTCAAGTCTCTGCCGCTCTGCCCCAAACTTTGGAAAGGAGAGATGGATAGACAACACAAGTTTAGAAACGAAAAGCAACTGTTCCTCCTGAATGCTTTATTGGGGGCTTTCGGTGGTTTCTAAGCATGAGCGGCAGTGACACCCAGACCTTCTCCCAACATGCAAAAGGCACAGGAAAGTGAGACACAACGAGGGAGGGCAGCAGGGATGCAGAGACACCACACCCCCCTGCTCTGTGTGGCATGGTGGGGCACGGGGGGAGCCCCATGAGTGATGGGAAAGGTGGGCAATAAAGGAGGTGGCTTTGGCAGAGGCAGAGAGAAGGACCTGAGTCCATCCACCTCCAGACCCACCCCTGCACACAGGCCAGGACTGACCTTCTGAGAGAAGGTCAGCATGGCTTTCACTAAAAGTCCATCTCCCATGGTGGAAAGTCACCCCTGGTGGGAAGAGGATGATGGGTGGGTGCTCCTCCAGGGACTTCTGGTAAAGCAAACACATTGGCCAGATCAGGAGGGGACTAGAGGGTGTGCTCATGGTGTCGGTCCCAGGCTTGGCCTGGTGGTTGGGTGCCACTGACTTGGCTTGTGCCAGTGCTGTCTCAGTCCACGTGCAGAAGAGTGGAGTCCCTTGGGGTCTTCAGAGGCCTCCCCAGGGTCTGCGGTCTCCAGCCCCAGCCGGAGGCACCACTTGGAAGAGTCAAGTGTTGATGTTGGCTTTGTCCTGTGGAAGAATTCCCTGGGCAAGAGGGAAGGGGAGGCGAGGGGGTCAGGCCCTCCGAGCCCCCAGCACCTCCCAGAATCTGGGCCCTGGTGGATGAAACAGCCTGGGACTCACCTCAGATCCTAACCAGTCCCCACAGTTCCATCTTGAGACCTTGAATCAAAAGAAAAGGCATTCGTGTTTTTTTTCTGTTCTCTCTCTCTCTCTCTCTCTCTCTCTCTCTCTCTCTCTCTCTCTCTTTCACACTCACGCTCACTCTTTCTCTCCTTTAGTAGAGCCATGGCCTCAACTCACAGCATTGGCAACGTCTACTTCTAAACTATGGAATGTTTTCACATTGACGATAGAATTACTCCAAACAGGGTGGGGAGTGGCTGTCCAGTGTTCATGAGACAGTGCGTTACTGAGAGCTTGCTGGGAATCACACAGTACAGAGACACCGGCAGGCACCGAGCCCGGGCCTGGCTCTAGATGTATTTTTTCTTGAGGTACCAGTAGGCAAAGTAGCCCATCCCCCCCAGGGAACCCATGAGGAAGGACGCCCCAAAGAAAGATGGGGGTTTCCGCTTGACCAGCCGGAACGCGTTGGGGATGACGGCCGACAGCAGGGTGGTATGGATGTCGCCGAGGACTTTCCGGAAAGCCAAGCGCCTCTGGACCCTCTCAAAGAAGGACTGCAGGTTGGGCCGGCTGCCATCTTCCCAGTATTTCTTGGACAGTCCCAGGAACTTGAGGCGGTGCAGGGTGGCTCCCAGGAGGACATCGGCGAGGGTGAAGGCACAGCCACAGAGCCACAGCTCACATTTCTGTCCTGGAGGGGAAGGGAGAGGAGATGGGAATGGATGGGGTCAGCTTCTCCCCATCAACTCACTTCTCTCCCTCCAGCCTCTGCCTTCACGCCACAGCACCGCCCCGAGGTCACTCACTCCCATACAGCTTTAATGACTTTTGCCTTATGCTTATACTACCTCTATTATTATTTTCTCTTTGAACCAACTGACTTTTTAAGTGCAAATACATGTATCTAAACTCTAGCTTCTTATGTCTAACTGCCCATTTTACAGCTCCACTTGGATGTCCACTATGTATTTCAAGCTAGGTATGTCCAAAATCGAATTCCTGATAGTCACCCCCAGACCCATCACATTCATCCCCATGTCAGCAACTGCAAGCCCGCCCTGTCAGTCACTCAGGCCAAAGCCCCGTGCCACATCGAGTCCTCTTTCTTTCATTCCCCTGTATGGTCTGTCAGCAATTCCCATCAACTCCTCTTTAAAATACGTCCGGAGTGTGATGTTACCTCCGCTGTTACCATCCTGGTCCAAACAACCATTCTCTCCTACCTGAGTTTTCATCGTGTCCTCTGACTAGGTCTCCCTGCTTCTGCCCTGGACTTCCTAGAGCGTGTTCTCAACATAACAGCTGGAAGGGCTGGAAATGGGCATGGCTTGCCTGGGGGGTGGGGGGTAGTGGACGGGCAGATGATTCATAAGCAGTCAAGATTAGAGAAGTGTATGCAGATAAACTAGTGAAAAAGCTTAACGCCAGCCAAAGGAATGTGGACATTAACATGGTCAGTAGGGAGAATGGTGGGGTTTAGAACAAAGGTGATATAGGAGACCAGAGGAGCTCCATGTCCACCTCTGGGCCTTTGCTCCTGCTGTGTCTCATGCCTGGAGACTCCCCTCTGCCTCCTCCCTGCTTCCACTTTCTGTGAGGTCTGCTCTCCCAGGAAGCTTGCTTTTGCATCTTTGAGCAGGTGTCCCTCTCAACTCAGACATTTTCTGAATCTGATGTGCTCCACCGTCAAAGCCTGATCCCTTCCATCCCTTTCACTCTGTGTCTTCTTGTTCATTCATTTATTCACTCATCCAACAAAGGTTTATGTAGAGTATGTGCTGGACATGAAGACCTGACCTGACATAGGACACGACAGTGTCTTGAGAGGTTCATGGTTTCATGGAACAAGGAGGTAAAGTGTAACGAAGGCTCTAATAACACAAAGTTTGTTCTTGAATACGCAACCTTCAAGATGCCGGTGGGATAGCTGAAGGGAGATGATGAGTCAGCAGTTAGAGGCACACGTCCTTAGTTCAGGTGTACATAATCAGCATGGAGGTTGGGGGGGGGACATCAACGAGGGAGTGAGTGCAGACGGATCTGAGAATAGGATCAAGGACTGAGCTTTGGGGTTTTAAGATTTAGATATTGGGCAGCAAGGAGAAGCCAGCAGAGGAGCGGAAGAAGGAGCAGCTGAGAGGTGAGAGATGAACCAGGAGTCTGTGTTATCCTGGAAGCCAAAGTTAGGAAGTGTTCCAAGGAGAAGGGAGTGCTCGGCTGTGTTCAAATGCTGCACGGAGGTCAAGTAGGAGGCTGAGAACTGTGGTGTCATTTGGCGACTGGCGACCGTGACAAGTGTAGATGCTGACGCTGAAAGCCTGGTTGGAAGGAGTTCAAGAGAGAAATGGAGGAGGGGAATGGGAGACAGTGAGCAGGGATCACTCTTCCAGGGAGTTTTGCTGTAATGGGAAGGACATGCCAATATGAGAGACAGGTCAAGAGTGGCTTTGCAAGTTGGAAGAGGAAACCCAGGACATCGATGGGAATGATCTAGCAGAGAGGGGATGATGCTACAGAAGACAGTGGAGGGAATTACTGATGTGAGTCCTTGAGCGGATAGATGGCTCGTACTCAGGGCGAGGAGTTGCTAGTTCAAGGACAGTTCACTGTAGGGAATATGAGGGAGTGTGCGGTACTATATTTCATCAAATCTGTTGCCATCAAGTGTAAGACATCCATCCTGGAGAGAACAATGGTGCCAATTAACTTTGTGAGAAACATTGTGATTTCAGAGACACTGAGATGTGACATAACAGAGGTGCACCTTCGAGCTGCTAAAACGCGGTGTCTGTATGGGCACTGGTGCTGCTGGGGGAGTGGTTGTGGGATCAGAGCTCTGAGGGTCTCCTCCTAAAGCTTCTGTTTTCTCAGTGATACAGAAATAGTCAGTGAAGGGAAGGGTGGAGGTGGTGGTTAGAAGGTTGAGGAGGAAGAAGAAAGTATTAAGCAATCACCTGGGGAGGGGGACAGAGGAGACCTAGGGCTGCCGGAGAGCCACCTAAGACTAGCAGTCATGAATCCAGAGTGAGACCAGCCTACAAGCACGTGTATTTCTCTAGCCACATTTGGGTTCACAGGTACGGGTGCTAACTAGGTCAAGATTTGGGTGTAACCATGTTTGAGGTTTTGCAAAGTATGATAAAGCAAGAAAAGGCCGAGGAAGCCGATGGTGCAGGCAAAGGAGTGCTCTTGCTGGTGGACGAGGGGGTTACCGTGAGTTCTGGAGCGGGGTGAGATCAGGATGGCGGTGAGGGGCAGTGAAAGGCGCTAGCACCAAGGGCCGCAGACCCCAGTGACAGACTGGAGGAGACAGATCTCAGGACAGGACCAAGGACTGAGCACCAGGGCGCTCCGAGGTTCTCCAGTGAATGAGGAGAACCCAGCAAAGGCGCATGAGAAAGAACAGCCTGCGAGGTGGGAGATTAACCAGAGCATGTGCTGTAAATTCCTTAATCCTCACAACAACCCTATCAAATAGGGATTATCCCCACTTCACACATGAGGCAACTGAGACACAGAGAGGATAAGTAACTTGGTCAAGGCCACACAGCTAGCACATGGCAGAGCAGAGCCTGGATTTGAATGTAGGCCATCTGGTTCCAGAGTGTGTGCTTATAACCACTACGTACCACTGCTTCTTTACATGTGCAGAGGAACAAGGCCAAATGCATGTATCTCCACATACACTCGGGCCCCTGGGGGGCTCAGTCAGCTAAGTGTCTGCCTCTTGGTTTCAGCTCAGGTCAAGATCTCATGGTTTGTGAGATCGATCCCCGAGTCGGGCTCTGCGCCCAAGTTATGCAGTCTGCTTGGGATTCTCTCTTTCTCTCTCTTTGCCCCTCCCCTGCTCACACTCACTCTCTCTCTCCCTCTCTCAAAATAAATAAATAAACTTTAAAACAAAAAAAGAAACAAAGAGGTTTTTCTTTGTTGGTTACGTGTCTGTTTGCCCATATGTTTGCCTGCTCAAGTCCCTGCAGTTGACCGTGCATATGCGTGTGGATATCTGCACACCGGGCATCTGCGTCCATGTGGTGTGGAATCCCCACGTGTATAAGTGAAGTGTATGCCCACATCCATTGGGCTGTTTGCTTGCAGGCAGATGTTCACAAGCATGTATGTGCACGTCATCATCTACGTGTGACCATGCCTGTGTTTATGTCTGTGGTGATAGCCATGACCACCATGTATGTGGACACCTGGCATGTCGCCAGAGGGCCTGAGACTTTCAGTTCTCCCTTCTCCTCCAGCTATGCATTCCCTTCGGAAAGCCCCCAGCCCTGGACAGACCCTACCTTGTACCTTCTCTGAGTCAGCCACTGAGGGTACTGGACAGTTACGCTGACCAGTTATGACCACCAAGCCCAAGAAAGCACTGAGCCATGCCTGGGCCTCTGACAGTTCTGGAGTGGGCTGGCTTCCCCATGCCCTGCAGACAACCACACTCCCCTCCTCACACCCTGTCCCCAGTCCTCACTCAGCTGATGATGCCACCGTGTGCTTCATTCAGAAAATAGGAGCCTTTAGGGGTGTCTGGGTGGTTTAGTCGGTTAAGCATCCAACTTCAGCTCAGGTCATGATCTCATGGTCTCTGAGTTTGAGCCCTGTGTTGGGCTCACTGCTGACAGCTCAAAGCCTGGAGCCTGCATTGGTTTCTGTGTCTCCCTCTCTCTCTGCCCCTCCCCTACTCACACTGTCTCTCTTTCAAAAATAAATAAACATTTAAAAATATTGAAAGAAAATAGGAGCCTTCAGACAGGAAAGCCCTCACTGCAACCAGGAAACCTACAAAGCCAGGCACGTACACACACGCTGCCCTGGGCCACTCTGCGGTGGGGGGTGCCAGCTACCTCCTCTCATGGCCAAGTCCTCTGTGGGTCTCTGCCCCTGTCCGAGGCCACATATCTTCCCTTTGCCTTCCAGATCCATGCTCCTCCCTTCTCCACGCTGCTCTGCGCCCTGGGAGGATGATGGAAACACCAGTGGGACGCCATGCCCTCTGGCTCCAGCTGGCTCCAGCCACTGGGGAGCAGAGGCAGGAGGTGGGAGGGCGGGTGTGAGTGAGGTCAGAGTCTTGCTTCCCTCAATGTCCTGTCTGTGGGTCACCATGGGCTGTGTGTGTCCACAGACTGAAGGTCACAGCTCCTGCCAGGGGTGCCCCCTCGCCACACAGCCTCTTTGTTCAGGTTCCTGAAGCTGCTCCCACCACTCGCGACCTCATGACCCCAGGCCCAGGGCACTGCATTTGTCCCTGTGTTCTCCCTGCATCCTGCCCACATATTTGTAAACAGTCCCCTGATTAAATCCTCCTCTTCTTGGGGCACCTGGGTGGCTCAGTCGTCTGGCTTCGGCTCAGGTCATGATCTCGCAGTTTGTGGGTTCAAGCCCCGTGGCAGGCTCTGTGCTGACAGCTAGCTCAGAGCCTGGAGCCTGTCTTTGGATTCTGTATCTCCCTCTCTCTCTGTCCCTCTCCTGCTCATGCTGTCTCTCTCTCTCTCAAAAATAAAAAAATAAAATATAAAAAAAAATTAAAAATAAATCCTCCTCATCTTTACCCAATTTGAAGTGCCCTTTTTCCTACGGGGCCCCTTCCTTGAAACATGTCCCTAGTGTCCCCTCCTGGACTGGGTGCCATCCGTCCTACAGCACTGATTTCTCTCCCACCGGGTCACTTCTACCAGCTTGAAAACA